AGTGAGGACTTAACCACTGGTCTGATTCCATAGCCCATATTCTGTTGACCTTTCAAGCTGCCACCTACATGAAAAGTCATAATTTCTCCCAAATAACCTGGATAAGTCCTCTGGGAAAGGTTCATTGGCCTTTCATAGTGCTCAACATGCCTCTCTTCCCTTTTTCCTTTCCTCGGTCCCTTTACTTCATTGGCCCTCCCTTCTCCTGTTCCAAACCCCACATCTATACTTGATGATCTGGGGTTCATATGGTCAGGCCAAGGTCCCCACTTAGAGAGTAAAGTACCCTGTTCTGGTAATTCCAACCACACACCTCTGAGCCTCTCCATATCCTCCTGAACCTAATTCCTTCCTTGAATCCATCTGAGCTGACAATGATCCTGAGCTCACAACACAGCAAGTTCCTTTTCAAAGCAGAGTGGAGCAGAGGAAGCAGAGACTTGGAAAGTCAAATGAAATATCACGGTACAAAATAAATAAATAAAAATGATGAAAAAAATGTGGTCAATCATTAGCTGAGAGGTTGAAAAGACATGCCCCAATTGCTTTACAATTTCACAGAACCCAAGCCTCCTTAAAATAGTTTTGCAAAGTACATTGAAAATTCCATGCAGTAATATGAAACATAAGTCCCCTTGCTGCCACTGAACATGCTTCAGCTGACAAAACCCAAGGAGCTTGACATTAACCCAAGGCTCCATAAACCCAGCAGGAAAATGCAATGGAGATGTAGTTGCAAAACTACCCCAGATGTGTACATTTTCTGCTCCATTACAAGATTTGGAAGAGAGGCAAAGTACATTTGGCCTCTCAGAAAGAGGGAATTGGGGAAGGAGGAGGGACAGGGCAGCCAGCCTTATCTTGAGTCCCCTTCTCCCCAGCCTGGCCTCCCCTCTAGTTTCCCCCCTACACTACTTTCTAGAGCCAACTCTCTAAAATGCAGATGTGTCCATAAGCCCTCCAGGATTCCCTAGAGTAAATAGCTTTTCCCTAAATCTCAATGGTCTTAACTCTATTATAGAATTAATGTTCACTTTAAGGATTTGGTTTGAGATCACTTTTTAAAAATTGAGATCATCTAGACAAAGTGCTAGGAATGCTGCATGGTTTATAGTAAGATTTGGAGAAAAGGTGACAATCAGTTATCAATGGGAGAAATCACAACGATCATCATTGAAACTACGCCATGTAAGGAAAGCCTAATGAAGAAAATGAAGAAAGCTCGTCCCAAAAGAAAAGACTCTCTGGTGTGGTAGGTTTCCCAGTTTCCCCATTTCTGAAGGGCTGGCAGAGACTGGGGGTGGTTAACCTCATGTGGCAGCCTGAGGACGAAAGCTTCTGGCTCAGTGTAAGAAAGGAAGACCGCACTGACAACAGTGATGTCTGGTGCTAAAGGGTGAAAGTCATGGGCGGCCAAAAGAACAAGCAACTCTGTCTTGGTAGAAGAACAGCTAGACTGCTCCTTAGAGGCAAGATTGGCAAGGCTTCCTGTCACGTGCTTTGAACATGGATCAGGAGAGACCAGTCCTTGGAAAAGGACATCATGCTTGGTAGAGAGGCAGCAAAGAAGACCCATGGCAAGATGGATTGACACAGTGGCTGCAACAGTGGATGGAAACCTGAGAACAATTGTGAGGCTGGTGCACTCTGTTGTCCACAGGGTTCTATGAGTGGGAGCCTGCCCGAGGGCACCTAACAACAGACCATGGCGAGCTTCTTGTCATTAGAACGGCATCACCATTTGGCAGGAATATAGAAGAGAGGATTCAATCATGATTAGGGTGAACTTGATGTTTTCAAAATGCCTTTTTTCCTGAAATCTGGTTTTTCTTTTTGATCCACAGTTGCTTGCCAATCAATTAGTTATCAACATCTTGAATTTCTGGCACATGTAAAATATGGAGCTATGGTGTCTTGGTCCATGAGGACATGGGAGTCATATGCTAACTTCGTTTTGCTCTAGGAAAGCTGAGTGTGTTTGGAGGTGTACTTGAAAACACAGGAGGTTCTCTGTGAGCTTGTAAGTCATCCAGGAAGCAGAAACTCTGGGTATTTCTTCGTTGTCCTTCATCCACTCCGGATGTGTCATTGAGCATCCAGCATTTGCCATTTCTTCTTTAGAGTCTAGTCTGTGTACCTACATATAAAATGTGCTTGTCTGTGCTTACTCCATTGGCATCCGTAACCATTGTTTGTTCTTTTCTTCTTTCTTGAAAACTGGAACTGCCTTCTTATGAGAATTATTTCTATAGACTTATGTAAGGCCTTGGTTTGAGTTTCAGGGTGCAACAATATTTAGTGTGTTTTTGAATGTATCAGCCTCTTAAAAAGCGGAATAAATGGTCTGCCTTTGTTCATTAGTAGTCGTAGAGACAGCTGGAATTCAGCTTCCTCTCTGAAAAAGAAGGTTATGCTTTAAAACAAACAAACATAAACACTAAACAAGATTTTTTTTTTAAGTCATGCTTTCTCTGTGTCATTCTTTACTACATATGTTTTAGAAGCATGTGTTACTTAACCCTGTGCTAGGTACCCGGGATACTGAGGTTGCTTAGCCTCAAAGAGCTCTTATACCTTTGGAGAAAAAGATGTGAGAACAGATAGTAAAAGAATGACTTGTACTTGGGGAGTGTGGGTAGTTGAGGGAGACTGCACAAAGGAGGTGACATTTGGTTGAGCATTCAAACTTAGTTCAGGTCACCTTGCACTTGGGAGGAAGAATGATCAGGGAGGGGGGCAGAATAAGCATAAAAGCTTAGAATCTGAAAAAACCATTGGGAAATGTCAAATAGTCTTGTGTTCTGGAGTATCCTGTGACCAGGAAGATGACAAGGGATGAAAAGATTGGCCATGATACTACTAGAAATAATTTTTCAAATATGGTCTGCAGTTTCCTGGGGTTTCATTCAGTCCGGTCAATTCAGCATGGTCCTTTTGGTAAACTATTGAAAAACTTGCTGCATACTGCTTCTTATTGACCACCATACTATTCTTCAAATAAAAATCATTTAAGATGAGTCCAAATAAATCATAATCATAAATAGTAAACATGCTCACACAACTCAAGAGTGGTCCCTCTTTTTCCCACAAGTGTGTAAGGCATGGTTGGGCCAAGCATCAGAGTAACATGTGCACATACCAGTGAGCTAGTTTAAAGACACGTCATCTGACCTATGCATCTGGATCTGCGAAGCATGTGTTGGTGGGGTTCAGCTGTGTAATGTGTTCTTCGATCACAGTGAACTAATTTAGGAGTTTGGGTTTATCTCCTTCATCCTGAGTGTGGCTGATGGGAAATGTGAGCACACTGCTTTGTGATGAAGATGTTTAGCAATTTCTGATTATAAAAGCAATACCTGCTCATTTTGGAAAATTGTAAAGAATGCAAGAGAAAACACCCACGACTACTATGAAACTCGAAGAGAACCACTGTGAAAATGTTGGTACATTTCTTTTCTTTGCTCCATACATATATATCATCAGTTAGTTGAATGCGCCACTCCCATTAAACATCCCTCTGTGGAATACTTCTATCCTTGTACCCCAATCATTTTACTCCCACAATAAATTATAAGGGAAAAAAATAAATTATAAGGGAAGGGAGAGGAAGACTGGGGAAGTGTGTTGTTCATATACTAGGTTTTTTTTGGTGCAGGAACCCAAAACTGCGTCTTTAGCTTCTGAAACATTGTCTAATGCCTGCAAGGCCTAGGAATTTCTAGTTATCTTCAGACCTATCTAGTCATCTATGTATCACAAGCACCTATCCATGTATTTTTCTCAAGCCCAGAACCTGGCACATTGTTGTACAGAGTCAATGGATTTCGGTTAATTGAATTTATGGATGGATGGCTATGTGAATTTTTATTATTATTCAACCAAAATCTCTTGAATACCTACCAAGTGCTAGGTCCAGGGCTAGGCAAAGTGGCATCTGCAGGCTAACTCCTTCTGCTGTAGTGAGTGAGAGGTGCTCCCTTAGTGAGGGGTCCTCTTTAGCCTGGTGCTCTTGTCCTATCTAAGGGGACCTCAAGCCCTGCCCCTGCAGGGACCTCAGGCTCTGTCTGATATCCAAGACCGAGCAGCAACTCCCTAAAATGCTCAGCTCCACTCTGCTCCATTCCAACTGGTCCCAGTTCAGGGTGGACAAGGAGGTAGCTGACAGCAGAGAGGGCCACCACTTCTCCCCCAGGCCCAGAGCTGCTCTGACAAGCCCTCTACAACCCCAGCCAGCTGGTCCAACTGGAAATCCCAGAGAAGTCCCAGTTCTGATCAAAACTGGTTTGGCAGCTCTGGGGGAACATTTCTGGCTGACTGACCCTCCTCTCAGAGGGAGTTGGCAGTCTTACAAAACAGGGGGGGTTGGGAGGGGGGCACTAATAGGGCTGTGGGAGGTGGAGTGGCTAAATTTGAAACACTCCATAATTTAGTTTTCTTGCAAATGAAAGTTTACACCTTGGGACTCAAACATGATAGCCCTTTCCCACCCTCCTGCATGCATTCTCTCACATTCCTCTCCTTTGCCATGCAGTTTTGTTGCCATGCAATTCATTTTGCAGCCTGATGTCGATGCAATATACTCCGGCCCGCGGCGCGACTTTTCCTCAGTGCATTTTCTTCCTGCAATGCTATTGTTTTGATGGTTATTTCAAGCCCACCTTTGTACCCTTTCTCCTCCCCCCGGAATCGCGCTCCGGCTGTGATTGCTCGGGTCTGACTTTGCGAGTGGCGGTGCGCCTCCAAACCCCCTTCATCCGCCCCCCGCCCCTCTGGCCTCCCCCTCCCTCCCTTTTCCGCGCCCAGGCG